TTATTTGCCTAAAACTAGGCTTGTTTGGAGTGAGCTGCCAAATCTGCTAGTGAATTCACATTCCCCTGGGAAGCCTGCTTTTTGGAAGGTCTTCAAGAAGTATTGAACTTACAAAAAAGTCTGAAAACTATAATTGACCCTATATGTGAAGGCTCGTGAACTAAACTGGGTTCTGACAATGTGGACAGCAACCTCCCAGTTACCGCTTTCCATTCTCAAGTGGCACTCTTTCAGCTCTTGTAAAATCCTCAAATTCCTACCTTAATGGCCAGGAGGAAATCAAACTGTGGAACTAGCCTGCACCTCTGAAGCCCCAGCAACCCCAAACTCTGTTGTTCTCCCTTTCATTTCCCATTTTGACCCCTTTTAATGATGACCCCCCCCAAAAAAAACTGCTGCAGTGAACATGGGGGTGCATATATCTTCTTGTTTATGTTTTTTTCTTTGGATAAATAACCAGAAGTGGAATTGCTGGATCATATGGGAGTTCTATTTTAACTTTTTGAGGAACTGTTTCCGTAGTGGCTGCACCAGTTTACATTCCCAGCAACAGTGCACAAGAGATCCCTTTTCTCCACATCCTTGCCAATGCTTTGTTTACCATAAAGTCTGCTTTGCCTGATATTGATGTAGTTAGATCAGCATTCTTTTGGTTGATATAGGTTAGTGTATCTTTTTCTTTCCCTTTACTTTCTGTGCTTGTATTTTAGGTATATCTCTTATATAAGTATGTATCTGGGTTTTGTTTTTTATTGAGTCTGACAAACTGTCTTTCCACAGGGTAATTTAGTTCTTTTAAATTGACGATGATGTTCCCTGGCGGTGCAGTGGTTAAGAATCTGCCTGCTGGGCCTCCCTGGTGGCGCAGTGGTTGAGAATCTGTGTGCTAATGCGGGGAACACGGGTTCGAGCCCTGGTCTGGGAGGATCCCACATGCCGCGGAGCAACTGGGCCCACGAGCCACAACTACTGAGCCTGCGTGTCTGGAGCCTGTGCTCTGCAACAGGAGAGGCCGCGATAGTGAGAGGCCTGCGCACTGCGATGAAGAGTGGCCCCCGCTTGCCACAACTAGAGAAAGCCCTCACACAGAAACAAAGACCCAACACAGCAAAAATAAATTAATTAATTAATAAAATCCTACCCCCAACATCAAAAAAAAAAAAAAAGAATCTGCCCGCCAATACAGGGGACATAGGTTCGAGCCCTGGTCCGGAAAGATCCCACATGCCATGGAGCAACTAAGCCCATGCGCCACATCTACTGAGCCTGTGCTCTAGAGCCCGTGAGCCACAACTACTAAGCCCACACTCTGCAACTACTGAAGCGCAGGCGCCTAGAGCCCATGCTCCACAACAAGAGAAGCCACCGCAATGAGAAGCCCGCGCACCGCAACGAAGAGTAGCCCTCACTCACTGCAACTAGAGAAAGCCCACATGCAGCCAAAAATAAATAAATAAAATAAATTTATAAAAAAAGAAAAAGTTGATGATGATGATTGGTAATATCTCAATTATTTTAAAACTATTTTATGCCTTCTATTTGTCTTTTTTTTTTTTGGCCTCACCATGTGGCATGTGGGCTCTTAGTTCCCTGACCAGGTAATGAACCCATGCCCCTGGCAGTGGAAGCACAGAGTCTTAACCACTGGACCACCAGGGAAGTCCCTGTCCTGTCTTTTTTATGCTGATATTGATGTTCTTGTTTGTTTTTTCCAATCCTTATTTTGAATTGATTGTCTTATTCCATCTTCTCCTGCTCCACCAGTTTGGATTTTATACCTTATTTCTTTGTTTATAGTGGTTCCCCAGAAATTTTAACAGTGTTTAACTCGAAGCCTAAAACTAAGTAGTATCTTAACCATCTTCTTGAGTATAGGAGGGCAAAGAATTTCTTGATTTCTTTCTTTCCTCCCGACTTTTATGCTATTGTTGTCATATATTTTAGTTCTGTCTTATTTTTTTAAAACTGCCAAAGGCATTATTATTTTATATGGTCAATCTTCATTTCGGTTCACCCACATATATGTCATCTTATTTGCCCATCGTTCCTTGCAACACAGATCTTCCATTTGTGAGAATGTGCTTCCTCTTGAAGAATGTCCTTTAGAATTTCCTTTAGTGAGGATCTGTTAGCTGGAGAGTTCAGTGTTTGTTTGGTCTTCATAACTTAGCTGTTGTCTTTTACTTATGGCTGTTATTGGAAGGTATCTTTGTTTGGAATGTGGTTATTTTCTCAGTTTTCCCTGCATGCTGTCTTTTTCCTTTCATTGCGAGGAGATCAGCCCTTAGTCCAATTTGTGTTCTTTTGTGGAGAGTGAATTTTCTCTCTGGCTGCTTTCAGTAACTTTGAGTGCTGTTGTTTTTACTATGATTTCTTTAGGAGTAGGTGTTTTTTTTTGTTTCTTTGTTTTGTTTTTTAAATCTTTCCAGGTTGAGACTCACTTGACTTCCTGAATGTGTTAGAGTTTTTCATGAGTTCCGGAAAATTCCTTAGCCATTATCTTTTTTACAAAACCCTTTCCTACAGTTTCTTTATCATCTTTTTTTTTTTTTTTTTTTTTTTTTGCGGTAGGCGGGCCTCGCACTGCTGTGACCTCTCCCGCTGCGGAGCACAGGCTCCGGGCGCGCAGGCCCAGCGGCCATGGCCCACGGGCCCAGCCGCTCCGCGGCATGCGGGATCCTCCCGGACCGGGGCACGAACCCACGTCCCCTGCACTGGCAGGCGGACTCCCAACCACTGCGCTACCAGGGAAGCCCTCTTTATCATCTTTTGAAAGTCCTGCTAGATGTAATATTTTATCACTCTGTCTTCCATGTCTCTTAATTGCTTTTCTTTCCCATTTTTTCCTTCTTCAAGCTTAACTGTGTGCAGTATCTTCATTTCTGTCATATCTGCTGTCAAGTGTATTTTCAATTTCAATAATTACGTTTTTATTTTAAGCATTTATTTATTTATTTGGCTGCACTGGGTCTTAGTTGTGGCACGTGGAATATTTTAGTTGCAGCTTGCATGTGGATCTAGTTCCCCGAGCAGGAATCAAACCCATGCCCGCTGCCTTGGGAACGTTGGAGTCTTACCTACTGGACCACCAAGGAAGTCCCTCAATAATTATGTTTTTAGTGCTGGAATTTTTATTTGGCTCATTTAAAAAATCTGCTTGGTCATTTAAAAAATATCCCCCCCCCTTGCCTTTTTTTAAAATATGTTGAGCCCTCTTTTATTTATTAAATCATATTAGGTTTACTGACAATTCTTTTAAGTCTTAGTGGGTCTTATTCTTCTGGGTTGGTCATATTTTTACTTTTCTTTAGTTTCTTCATGTATAAAATAGTAATAATACTAATAACACCAAATGAATCATGAGATTGTTGTATGAGTTGAGATAATGAATGTATTAATATATGTGTCACATAGTGAATGCTCAATAACATGTAACCCATTAAAATAATGAAAAATAATGAGATATAGTGTATGACTTATGAGATATACAGGAGCTATAAATTTTATTGAAGAATATAAAAGACAACTTGAGAAAATAAATACAGCAGAATAGAAACACAGTATTAATAATGTGAGCTCATGTTAATTCACATTTTATACAATTTCAATAAAAATTCTAACTAAATTTATTTTTAAAGTTTGCCAAAATTATCATAAAGTTAATGTAAAAGAATAGGTGAGGAAAGTTTTTTTGTTTTGTTTTGTTTTTAGACTTTCTGTTACTGTGGTTTTGTCCCAGGGCTACTTAGCTACTAAGAACAAAATGTGATTTCCTGAAACTTGTTTATTTCTTTCTCTGCACCTACTTAACGGGGATTCTAAAAGAAGGCCCTCTGACCAAAGGAATAAAAGGGCATGGTTGAAGAACTCATTCCCATAAAAATGATCTCAGAACTCCAAATTTCTTTTGCTCACACAGATAGCAGGTTGCAAGAGCACTTTCTGTTCCAAAATGGAAGTGGTCCTCACTGGAGGATTTTCATCCTTTCATTTGGGTGCGGGCTGACTGAAATGACTAGGAACCTTGACTATCAGCCTTACTTGGTAGTATAGGTGATTTTTTTTCTGCTAGGCCTTTGGTAGACTTACCCATCTTCACCTAATGTCTTTTTTATCATCTCATTCAGTGAACTTATATCCATGTAGCTATTTGTTGAGCATTTACTAGGTATCAGGCGCTAGTTAGGTGATGGAAGACAAAAAGCGGTGAACCTAGCTGAGTCAGTCCTTACTTCAGTAATAATTGTAGGTAATAGTTACTGACTGTTTATAGTTGTGCTTGCCATATATTGAGTCATTTAATCCTCTCAGAAAGCTATGTGGTAGATAGGATTAATATCCCTACTTTACATGTTGAGGGGTTTGTATACTTGCTCAAGATTGGGGTAAGGACTAGAAGGGGTCCTAGGATCAAGCCGTTTGCAAAGGTGGACCCTAAGGCTGAATCCTGGGCAGAGTAATTCAGATAGGCTCCTGCTTTGTGATTGCACACACCAGCAGTCCATATTCTTTGGGTTTTCCCAGGGCCTCTTCGCTATAGAGTATAAAGTTTGGCAGGGGAGTAGGGTAGAGGATGGTGCTGTGCTGACTTAAGGATTAACCCTTAAACATTCTACCATACTCTCCCCGCCAGACATTAACACATACTGTGTGTCTATAACACAGAAAAGCATTATTACAGTGCCACAAGAGGTCATTGTGATAGAGGTAGATGGGCTACCTTCATATGTTTAGATTCTCTTACTATTTTGCTTTAAATTTATCAGAATTAAAATATAAAAGGATTTTTCAAATGATGACTTATGTTGTTTAGTTATTAGTCAAAATAAATCTGATTGGGTTCGTTAGAGCCTTTGGGTCCATTAGGCTCTAGTAGATTAAGTGATTACCCTATAGAATCAGCAAAGCATTGCTCAGAAGCATGTGTTATCTCTGGTGATTAATTACTAGTGGGGCTGATGTGCAGCAGATGCCTGACTCTTCCTTTCTGGGTCTCTTAGCAACAGCTTGAAGAAGAAGCTGCTAAACCTCCAGAGCCTGAGAAGCCTGTGTCCCCTCCTCCCGTGGAGCAGAAACACCGCAGTATTGTCCAAATTATTTACGATGAAAATCGGGTAAGTTCATGCCATTCCCGACGGCACAGGCCTTTAAAACCAGTCATCTGTGTATTCTGTGGTAATATTAATTGTATTAAACCTGCTTTCTGTTATAATTTTTAATGTTCTTAAACTTTGAAGCTTGGTGTTTTTTCTTTATATACTGAAGAAAAGTTGATAGTTGTGTCTTAAATTATTTAATATTTCATTTGCATTTTATATGGTATAATACTATTTTGTGACAGTATAATTTTATCAGCTGAGTCTCTCTCCTGTTATATAAATAGTGGTAAGCAAGTGTGTAGCACATAATACAGCCATTCTGTAGTTTTTCACTTTATAAGCAACATTTAATGCCAACTACACTATTCTAGTAGAGATGGTCATTGGACGTGGAAATGGCTTGCATTATCTGCTTCAGAACTGATAGCTGGGCTGTGCTTTTGAGTTTTAGTTAACAAAGTATGAGGCCATTGACCTTTAGGTCAACTTTCCTTTTTAGGTTTGTTAAAATAATTTCTTCTTTCATACTCATAATTAAAAGTGTCCACGGGGGCTTCCCTGGTGGCGCAGTGGTTGAGAGTCCGCCTGCCGATGCAGGGGACACGGGTTCATGTCCCGGTCCGGGAAGATCCCACATGCTGCGGAGCGGCTGGGCCCGTGAGCCATGGCCGCTGAAAAGTGTCCACGGATTTAGGAAAGCCAGGCCTCAATTCTATGAATAATTTTGTGATGCTGAAGTTAGTTTTTGGCCAGAATTGAGCCCAGGAACTAGCAGTTAAAGGGAAACTGATTTCACCTTAATGTGAAGAAAACCTTTCAACAGAGCTGCTTAACACTGGGCTTCCAGAAGCCCCCAGTTCAAGAAAGAATTATATGCTTTAAGTACTATGGTAGAGAATTGGCTTGTCAGCTTAAGGTGATCATAAGGTAGAAGTTGGGGACTGTCATTTCAGTTTATGTGCCTTGTAGTGGGTGGAGTCTTACACAGGTATCCTGTAGCGAGGTTAGCCCAGATCCTAAAGGAAATTGACCTTAAGAAAAGCAGCTGTGAGATAGTCATTAAGTACACTTTTATAGAAATGATCTTGGACTCAGGTGTATGTGTGTGTGTAGATAGATAACCGAAAGTCATCAGGTACACAATACTTAAGGAATTTTAAGTCACCGAGAGGCAGAAATATGGACAGTTATTACTAGTTCCTTGACTGGGTTCAAAATCAGTCCAATTTATTGGGCAGAACAACCTGCGTGAAGATGAGTCCAGTGAGGGTGAAGGGCAGTCGGTGGAAGGAGTGATGAGGACCCCTCAGGGCATGCCTGGAGGGCAGTGACGCTGGGGTCCTTGCAGGGATGTGGCCTGAGGTCAACAGGTGCTCCCTTGTTTAAGAGAAGCAAGGTACATGGATTTTATATGAAATCTCCTGCTTTTAAAAAAAAACACACTGGAGAACAAGAAAGTACTTCTGAGGGCTGATAGGCTTCATGGCCAGTTTGTGACTTCAGGGGTAAAGTAAATAGGGGTTAGAGCTGATAATAATGGAAAAGGATCTTATAAAATAATATATTGACTTCTTAGTATGAGTTACTTTTCAAATACATTGAATTCAATGATATTTATTAATTGATTGAATTTCTTAATTAGCCTTCTCTTACAGGCCTAATAAATAGTTCCAGTGTTAGTGAATTCTGTGGTTGCCTGACTAGGATGTGAGGACTGAAAACTATTGAACAAGATCTGATAGAGAATTCAGTTTGTGTTAATTTATATATATGTATTTTTTTTTCATTAGCTAGTGTAGTAAATGTTCCTTGATGCCCATCAGCAGG